TGGTTGAGATTTCTTTAGGGAGGGCGTCATTGTCTGGTTGCGACTCCAAGTTGGACGAAGATTGGTCTGAATCTAATCCATTGACGGTGTTGATGTCTGAGTCTTGCTTTTCTGATTCCCCTTTTGGAATCTGTTGCTCTGGTGGTGCAGTGGCCCGTTTCTTGTCAGTACCTGCTGCTTCTGCTTCTGCCTTTGCTTCTGTTTCTGCCTCTGCCTCTGCTTCTGCTTCTGCAGCTTCCACTCTTGCAGTGGTTTCTATTTCACCTGGGGCAGAGGCATCCTCATTGGCATCCTCGCTCTCTTGAACTAAAATGTGAGCTCTTTGCATCACTGTCCAATCAAACTTTTGTGGCTTGATTAATGAAATCACCACACTGACAATTCCCGGTAAAAACAATGCCGTCAAAGCACCATACAATGCAGGTAATTGCATACCCAAGGTTGTAATGTTTACAGCATCGTACAACTTGTACGCAGTTGTGGTCCACACTGCAAGCCCACAAGTAATCCCCACAATGGGCGAAACGACTGCCGCCAACCAAGTTTGTCGGTCCCAAACAATCGACATAACGAGAGGTATGACACCGGGACATATAATCAACGGGGTAAAGTACCCAAACCATGTCATATTAACACCGACATAATGCAACATTAACGAAAATCCAGCGGCGACAAAGGTAAAAACCACACATCCTATATGAGAAACAAGTATCAATGATTTGTTTCCAGCTTTAACATTGATGTATTTTTTGTAGATGTCAAATGTCGTTATGGAAGAAACGGAAATCATTTGTGCTGATATTGTTGATGTAACAGCAAGATAAAGAATCAATAACAAGCCCCCAACAGCACTTCTGCCCAATGTCGCCATCAACGTGTATGGCAAAGCGTAACCTGAATCAATCTCATACTGAGTCATTTTACGTGGATAAGTTGGGAAACTTGGCGAGCTTTCCATCGTGATTGCAGCACCACCAATGATTGCCCCCAAGGGCCACGGGTTGGACATGATGCACAATGCTGCAGTCAAGTATGCTGGAACTGTAGCTCTCGGAGCAGCTGAAAATGTCTTTTGCCAAAATGAACTGTCCATTACTGACAATCCGAAATTACCACAAGTTAGGACCAATCCGAAAAATATGGCACCTTGCGATTTACCAGTTATGACACTGTTTTTGTAGTTGCCTGGGATCTCACGCGAGCCTCCAAATGCAGCCAACTTGTCGTACAATCCATCCAATCCCCCAACTTTCGTCAACACGGCAGTGTTAAAGTAACACAAGACAATTAACAAGATCAAACTGTGGGCGAAATCAGTCAAGAACGTTGCCTTCAACCCTCCATATATTGAGTAACACAAGACCGAAAATATCGTCAATAATGTAGCAGCAACAATGTGCAAGTTACCAGCAATGATTGAAATGGCACCGGCAGCCGCCAAAATCATACTTGAGCAAGAAACCAAATTGGTGATTAATGAAAGACACATGAATAAAATATGAGCTACTTTGCCATACCTCAACTCCACAATCTCCAATGAGGTATGTGCCTTGGGGCATTTCTTTTTAGCATGGATCCCCACCATTGACATTACAACAATTTGTATAACTAAACCAGCCATGTAGTAGAATGAACTTTGGATGCCATAGTTGTAAACCATTGTAGTTGTCCAAAGCAATTCGTCAGCCCAACTCCAACTTGAATAGACTGCTGATGCCGAAAGCAACGTGCCCACTGATCTATTGGCAACGGAAAAAGTCTCGGTGCTGTTGTTGTCTTCCTTCAAGTATCTGCGTAGCAAGTTGGTGACGATAATCATACCAATGGCGAACCCGCCACCGACCCCAATTAGGACGCCGTATCCCGCTGCTTGTGGGAGTAATTGTACAGCTGATGAATCTGAGGACATTTGTTTATCTTTTTGGTGTCGAAGTGACTCAAGTAAATAGTTTGATGATGAGCAGCATGAAAAATGTGCTGAACTTATATATATATGTATATAGATTGCAATTTAAATAAGAGGGTTCACATTCGGGTCTGAGATGGGGGGGGAGGGAGAAGGCGATATCATTCTATTGTGCTACTAAATGTGTGGCTTAAGCGAAGCGAGATTAATTTATTGGTTGCGATATTACGGTATTTTCTTAATTGTTTTTAAGTAACAATTAATGTCATGGGGTAGTTCTGGTTGAGCTCTCTATTTGGGAGGCCGAATTCTATATCTCTTGTGTGGATATCTAGCCACCAACAACTTTGATGGTTTCATATGGCAACTAATTGCTTAGTATATTCCTTTATTTCCTCCCCTCCTTATTTGTTTGCATTTAACCGAGATCAAAAAACCGGTTGTAGAACAAGAAAGAACTGTGGCTCATAAAACCCTCCATACGAAAAAGGGGATCTGGTAAAAAGAAAAATAAAGGGGTACAACGTCATTGGGAGGGGTGGAGGTGTCGAGTAGTTCTGCTGGTTATGTCACGCAATTGTCGTGATTTGAAAGCTAATTAATGGCATCAATTGTAACTTGGCAAGTTACTTGCGTGTGGCGTAAGTGAAGTTTGTTTGTTTGTGTGCATGTGTGTATGTGTGTGTGTGGTTGCAAAAAAAAAAAAAACTTGTTCCGAACCGATGAGAGAGAGCCATAGTGAAGGTAAGACAAGGAATAGAAAAGGAAAACGAAGCTAAAGATACAATTGCAGTCGACTGCTTTCTGTGCATTGGAATGATTTTAATAACTGAGTTCTTTGTCTGCGCTCTTCTTTATTTCCCATACTTTGCAAATTTGACAAAACTTTGAGTATGGGGAAGTTGACGCAGGTGTGTAAATCGAGAGAATTGGAAGAAGGGCCAGTACCATTGCAGGCAGAAACAGAGAAATCCAGTTAAGTATATTATTTAAAATGACTGTGTGTGTTAATACTACTACACGTCTTTTAAGAAAATAGCACGTAGTTTCAAGTTTGAGTAAAGTTTTGGCGTACGCAGGTGTCGAACTTTACACTCTAATTTGTGTAAAGTCGTGTACTTTTGATAAAATTGTTTTCTTTTTTTTAAAAAAGAAAAAGTAGAAAAAGATATTACAAAATTCAAATCTGTGTTAAATACACAAACATAAAATTTTTTTTTTTATATAATTAATAAACAGAAATAGAAGATGAGAGAATTTATTGTAACCTCTGTAACTCACTTTTAATTCAATTGTTCAGTTCTTCCGAGCAAAACACTCCAAAATAATCTAAAATACGAACAATAAACACCAACGTTTGCTTTACTTATTGTAAGTTTGAACAATAACCGCAATCTGTGATTTGTAGAAGATAACGAAGAGTAAAATCTAATAATGGATCAACAAGAGAACAAGGTGTTCCTGACAACAAATCTGACTAAAAGAAAGATCCTTGTTACTCACGTCCTTCATGCTCTTGTGTAGTTTATAAACAATCTCTTGGGCAGCGCTTGTTACACATTCTGTTTGAGAACATATCCCACTACACTTCAAAAGCGTATGAGATCAGTTAATTACACGTGATGCAGTAACATAAGTGCATAATCTATTATCTTCTTTTTAGACCATGCGCTTACAAGGGAGCTCAAAAAAAAAAAATGAAATACTCCAAATCACAAAAGCGATACAAAAAATAAAAAAATAAATAAATAAACAGAGCTGAGGAATAAACGGAAAAAGAGAGGAAAAAAATTGAGCTATTTTGGTCGTGCTCTTTTGTGAACAAACACATCAATTTTCAGGCACCTGTTCTTTTCCCATAGACCAACAATGGAATATAACCGTCGGAATCTTTCCTTTTACGAACAGAAAGTGTAGTAGTGAGTACAGATATATATACCACATGGACAGAACAACGGTTTATGAACACTTACTCGAGAAACAGTATACCGTGAAATGAGGGGCCAGACCAACACTCTCATTGCTAGTGTTGCATTGTACCTTTCGTATGTGGAAAATCTCCTTTCCATGGAAACACATAATAATAAAGAAATGAGATTTCTAATTGACTCGGATTCTTTTATTATTTTTTTCTTTTTCTTTGTGGTGGCTTTTGTGTCCATTTATTGTGCCCACAGTTTGTATTAAATCCGCCATGAGATGTGTAACAAAATCGTCAAACAACAAAAACAAGCACAGCCTTGATTGAGACTGCACGCCGGGTGGGTAAAGAACAAGCAAAGGTTGTTACAGCCACACAGAGAGAGGGATGAGTCGTCGGCAACATCAGTGGAGACTACGGCGCGGAAGGAGAGCCTGAACGCGACCTTTCTAAATCAGATCTGCTAAAAACCCGGCGTAACAACAAAAGAAACTTCTATTCAGTGAAATGTAATTTGAGAATGCCTTTTGCTGTGCACTGTTGATAAGGAGGCTGCAAAATGCTTCCCCCCCCCTTCCCGCCACAACCACAACCACAACCACAACACACACATCACTACTTTATGCGTCTCATGCTGCTTAACAGCAACTTCTAAAAAAAAAACACTTTACACTTGCTTCCTCTCGAAACCATCTTACAACTAGTTTAGTGGTTAATAAAAGTCAAAGTTAACATATATTTATATATTGTTAGTATATCTAGTAAAGAAATCTATTTACTTCAAATCTAGGAAACTTTAGCAATTAAAACAAATAAAGACAAAAAAATCAAAAATCAATCAAGAAAATTAAATCAAACTGAAACTGAAACTAGCAAAATGTTGAGGATGTGCTTGTGCATGGTGCATGCTTCCTCACTCTATAAAGAATGTTTACCCCCCCCCCCCTCTCTCTCTCTCTCTCTTCTCCTCTACCCTCCTATCCTTTACCCTCCTCTCCTTCTCTCTATTTTCTATCTCCACTCACTGATGGAATCCATCCAATCCATAACCTTGGGGCTGTGATGGTTGTTGCTGCTGTTGCTGATGTGGTGGAACTGGCACCGTTTGTTGATGAGGATGGGCGCCGTGTAATTGATACTCAACTCCAGCGGGAACAACAGGGTGGTGCAATAGAGTAGGCTGTTGGCCATGTTGACCTTGTTGTTGTTGGTGCTGTTGTTGTTGTGGAAGCATCGAGTAGTGAATACCACCTGCAGTAGCAGCTGCTCCATTGACTGCACCTGTTGCTGTTGTCGTGGGTTGAAGTATTTCAACGTTTCCGTTGGCTCCAGGTACTCCAAGTGCTGCAGTTTGTATACCAGGACCCTGTCCATTATTGCTGGCATTGTTGGTGTAGGCTCCTGACAATGGTGACAACTTGTCTTGCTCATAGAATCCCAATGTAGATGAAGCGGCAGTAGAACCATTGTTGGTGGTGGCTCCTACGGCCCCTGGAAGTGGCAAGTTACCGGTGGACGTAGAGGCCAATGAGGTTGCTGAGTTTGGCAAATATGGATTGTTGGAAATAATGTAGCCAGGGTACCCTTGTAAGTTGTTAAATTGCTGTTGCTGCTTGAAGTAGTTTTGATATTGATCGTGTTGAGATTGTTGCTGTGGTTGTTGTTGTTGCAACATTTGTTGTTGAGCGGCTGCTGCTGCAAGAGCGGCTTCTGAATGGTGACGCTGTGCTTGCATAGCAGCAGCTGCTGCATTTGCCTGTTGCTGCTGCTGCTGCTGTTGTTGTTGTTGTTGTTGTTGTTGTTGTTGCTTTTGCTGTTGCTGTTGAAGCTGTTTTGGAGTTGGCTTATCTTTACAAACCAAACAGTTCTTGTTCTTACCGTTCCTCTTTGGTTCATACTTGTAGTTTGGATACTTCAAGGCATGGTTTTTCTTTTCTTCTTCAGCCAATTTGTTCCAATGTTCCTTTTCGGCAGCAGGCAAAGCTCTCCATCTTCTACCCAATTCACGAGAAACTTCAGGGTTAGAACGAATGACCGAACCTTCATCCAAGATGGCTTGATGATACTTCTGTCTAAACAAGATAAAAGCGTTTCTTGGACGTGGAATCTTGCCTCCTTTGTTTTTACAAATACATTGAGGAGCACCCCCTTCACCACCATTGGCAGCAGCAGCATTGCTTGCAGAAGATGAGACGACAGAGGATGGTCTGCCTGAGTTTGAGTTCCCAGTTTTGGACTTTTGGTTGGAGAACAAGTGGTCTGCGTATGTAGCAGAAGGAGTTGTGTGAGAAGTTGAGACTTGTGAGTAAGGATCTTGAACATAGGCTTGTTGTTGTGGGTAATATCCATTACTTGTAGTGGTGGCAGTAGTGGCAGCAGAAGTGACCGAACCTGACCCATCGTGTTGTTGGGAGCGAGATGGCATGATGTGGGCTAGCGATGGTAATATGTTGCTGGTGCTGCTGCTGGTGCTGCTGCCAGTGTTGTATTTTGATTGAGAGTCGTCACCAGGCATATTATGAGTGTAGTAAACTGCTGTAGACATTTATAAACAAGTGGTGTGTAGAAAGCTGTAAGTAAGTTGATTTCTGCAGAAATTGAGTAGTGATAGTCAAGTGGCTAGTCTTAGTCTGTGGTTAGGGGTTGGTGGTGTATTGCAAATAAGAAGTTGTCTTCTGTATATAAACAATAAAACAGGACAAGAAATTATATTATATGATAAACAATGTTTTTGACAGACCAAAAAAATAAACAAAAAAAAAAAACCAAATAAGAAACAATGTCAAAATGAAGCGTTCAGATACAAAGGAATGAAATGAGAATGGACTGTGTGTGTTAATAGGTGGGGGGCCGTTTTGATACAAAGGAGTAGGATGTCACAGCTTTGGATGAGTGAAGTGTGAAGATGAAGAAGAAGAAGAAGAAGAATGTGAAAAAGGAAAAAGAGAAAAAATTCAGTATGAAAGTGGAAGTTTAGATTTAAGGGCAAAATGTGTATCTACTTATATGTTTTGAATAAATGTTTATGTGACTATACGTCTTAATCAAGGGGAAACAAAGTGAAGAATAACCCGTACGGCAGTTAGTTGCGTGTGTCTGTCGGATAATAACTCTGGTTTGCAAAATAGTGCCCAAATAGCACAGGTTGCATATATATATATATATTGTACTACTAAGGTCTGCTTGTTAACTTTGTGTACGTTAACTTATGCAGGTGTACCTATAATATTATGGAAGCACTATTGTCAGTAGAAGAGCAAAATTGTTTATTTTGTAACTTTTATCTTAATATCTTGAATTTTACACCTCTTACACGACCCATCTTTCTTCTTTTCTTTTGTGTACTCTAATCATGTTCTAAGGCTGTACAGCGGGAATAACAAGGTAGGATTTAAGTAAAGACACATTTACGTTTAAAAATTTATTCGATATGTGCACGTGAGAAAAAGAAAAGGAGATGAGAGACAAGGCAAGTCACATTCATACAACAAGTATCTCTTTTTCCTTAGTTCTGGTCACATTGTGATGGGAATTGACTTCCTATTCAGACAACTACAGAGAAACAATACAGCACCTACAATAGACGCCACGATAAGAGAAGCAATACAAGAGCAGGGTGAACTACGCTATTTTGTTATTCACAAAGAGATGGAATTTGAGTTAAAAACAATAGGATTCCAAATTCATCACAAACAAATCCTGTATATAATTCGGGTAAATTTAAAAACAAAAAAGAGAGAATGAACTATCTTTCTTTTTCTTTCCCTTTCGAAGATAGGACAAACAGAACCACAGACAGACAACGGAACAACAATACCACAGAATTGGCTTGCACTCACAGATTTGGTTTACACTTGTTTTACTTGCTTTCGGTAAAAGGGATCTCTATATTAGTATTTGCTCTTTTCTCTTTTTTATTTTTTTTATCCTTTTTGCATTGTCTTTCGGAATCTACAAAATCTCTTGTTTGTGCTCAGTTGGTGCGGAGATTAGAGATTTCAGAGACACAATAGGAGACGACATAATATATATAAGGTTAGCAACAGAGTGTTCACAATTAAACACTAGTATACATACACACACACACACAGAGCAAAGAGTGAAGTAGAAGCAATTATGTTTGTGAGAGGTATGAATAGAGAGCAAATATCAGTAAATCAGTAGGTTGTAGATACAGGTATCTCTGTGTCTGTGAAATAACGGATTAAAATGGAAGCGGAATTTATTAGATACAAATTGTTTGTTTTTATTCTTTTATTTTTTTTATTTTTATTTTATTTTTTTATTTTTATTTTATTTTTATTTTTTTTTGTTATTGTTCGTAAACAATAGCAGAAACATTCTGTCCAAAGGGGAAAAATTTGGGAGAGAGAGGGAAGGGGAGGCAGGAAATGGCTGAATAATCCGATTATAGACAGACAACAAAGTCATCATCGAAACAAACCATTGAAATGCTAAACCATGTTTCAAGATCACAATAAGGAACTTCAGAAAACAAAGGATAAAGGAAAAAGAATGAAATAAAATGGAAAGGGCTATCCGATGCGGAGAGAAAACATTAAACAATACCCGATACTATTATATTGCTAAGTTTATTTATTTATTTAATTATTTATTTACTTATTTAAAATTCCTTACTCTTCTCCACCCCTCTTAAGTTGATGTGTTTACGAACCCTTGCAAAGTAAAGCTGGTAGTGCATGTAGCTGACGGAAAGTAGCACGTTCGTTTCCAAAACCGTCTTGTACGCAAGACTAAACAACATGAGACAAAGTTGCGATTTAGCTTTTTTAGTGATTTTTTGAACAATAGTACACACCCGTTTTACAGTACACAGAATTGAATTTGTTAAACAGAATTTAAATTAGTTTGTATGTATGTGTGCACACACACACACACACACAAAACAAATAAATAAATAAATAAATATTTATTTTCCGTTCTCCAATATATTTTTCGTATTGTGATATTTCCTTACTATTACATAATGCATTATGCATATTAGCTTTGCTGAATAAAAAAAGAAAAGAGAGAGAAAAGACAATGATGTCATTGATTCAACCTTTTGCGCTGTGTAAATCTTTTGCTTTTGTCATACAAACAAAACAAACAACGACAAAACAAATTTCTATTCTCTCACCAATCCCCGAATATCACCTTCATGTTTTTAGTAAAGTCCACGCTTGATTGTACGTATACACGGCAACAATTATCACTCTTTTTGTCATTCACTAGCTGTGTGTCTATCTCGATTGAAAGCACACACACGAGCCTATTATGCCGTATCGTAATCAAAAGAAAGCAGCAAAAGAAAACCTCCCAGCAAAATCTCACAATTTCTTGGTTAAATCTCACTTGCTAGTGCGGCACACATGTCGCACCCAATTCTCCCTCCCTTTTGTCAACAATCCGGGATTTTCAAGGGTTTCCGTCAACTCAAGTCAGAAAAGCGCATAAACGCAAATCAAACGCACAGTGTCTAATGCGATACTGTGAAACCAAAATTCAATCAAAAGACGGGGTTTTTTTCCTTATTGTTGAACCGGTTCCTAATGCTTTGGTGTTCTGTGTATTTATAAAGTTGTTATTATGAAAGTAATGGTAACGAGCTATTGACATTTATTTTATCAAACTTAGCCTGCTTTGCTATTCCAACGGTACCTTCTTTATTATTTTTTGTTTTTTGTTTTTTGTTTTTTTGCAGCAGAATATTATTGAAAACTATAGGAAACAATCAAGCAACCTCTCTCATAACCATAATTCCACAGCATTGTAACCAAACTTTGGGGACCAAAAGTGTTCTAAGCAATTTTATCACAACCTCGTAGTCTCGCGTGCGTGTTGGAGCGTTTGTTAGAGACGATACAATAAAACGATATCGAACCCCAACCGTTTTCCTCGTTTAACCTTGCCTATTTAAGCTATAATAACATCGCAAGAGAGAGAGAATAAATAAATAATAAAATGAAAATCACTCGTCTTTTATCGGAAGTGGAGATGTTCTTGGTGTTCATGCGTCATCCGCATCACTCCACCTTTAACCTCCTTTCCCCCCCTCCTCCTCCCATGCAACGCCCACGTGTCTCATACGAGTGTTCAAATTCTGCATTTGTATTCTCCTTTGTAACTTCTACACTTTTTGCACTTTCACAGAAAACTCGTTTCCCCGGTGTCTCAGACAGATTAGACATCTCATTGTTACGAAATTGCTTTTGATAATTCTATGCCCATTGTTAAGTTTTTGGCTTCGAGACAAAAATAATAATCAACAGCCACAATTACACAATAGCTTGAAATATTTTTAGTTATCGCTTTGATTTGTAATAATTGTCAACTGTCTAGAATTGGGAATCTGATACGCTAATATAATTTACTCAAAGGGGAAAGTTTATGCAAGACAAAGAGTAAAGAATTATCGTCTACTTCACCCTTCCTTTCAAATACTCTTTTTATGTGAAGAGAAACGAACAGGAATAAAGAAAGCCAACAATACACACAAGGTCCCATACAATATAAAGCTTCTTTCCTCGGAATCTCTCTTTAAACGAACGCCCAGCCCAGTTTCAAAAAAAGATAAAAAGGACCCCTTGCTTACAAACAATAGTGAGAGAAGAAAAAGATCCATCATCACCCCAATGACGCATGATTTCTCATTTACCTTTACCTTTTTTTTTCCCGCTTACCGCTTACCTCATACCGCTCTACTTTTTTTTTATTTTTTTTTTTTTTCATTTTTGTAATTAGTTTTATCTTTTGTCGATCATGTCATTTAACTCGTGATGCATTGTAGAAACGGAATTAATATCTCTCTGTTTTATTTCTGTGGAAAGAAGATGTAACACATTTGAACAAGTTCCTGATGTATGTGATCAAAACACGTGGGATGTGGAACTTCACTGTCTTTGTTTTCCTTTTTGGAAGGGCTCGGCATAGCTTCGGCTGATGTCTTATTGTACGAGTTTCAACAATCGTTTTTATTGTTGAGAAAACAGTTGCTGGAAGTTCCAAAAAAAAAAAAAGCATTCGTTAATTCCGTCGGTTATTTGCAATTTGTGCATCAAAATTGTCAACAAGAATTTTTTGCTTACCAAAAGTAGTCTGATTTTGGTAATCCTATTGCTTGTTTAGGACCAGTTCTCGCTTAACCCCGAATGTATCAATCAATATAACTGTCTAGGTGAAGATGACGACTAAGCAAAGAACATCCTGACGAAGCTTCCCTTAAATTATTTGCTTCAAAATTAGACGAAAAAAATAACAGGTCGCAGAACTACACCGTGCCATTTACTGACCTTAATACTAAGACCATGCGATCTCTCCATTGACCACAATCTGCTAGTTAACCATTACATGCTGTGAATTGTATTGTCAAAAAAGGGTCCCCGCAGTCTTTCTAAAGGGGTATACTGTATATAGATAGCTCACAATTTCAAACTACATGGAAGCAGGAAATACACTCCCCTCCTCTCTCCATACTGGCCTATTAAGCACTTTTCCCTCTCACATGCCTTTTTTTAACATCATAAATGCAAAGTCTAAAATCTTCTTTTTTTTTTGTATGTCGTGTCATGTCATGTCGTTTCGTGGTGTGGTGTGGTGTGGTGTGGTTTGTTAGTTCCTCTCTGGTTTAGGCAAAAATTGCGGGGCGGAAAAGTGAAGTTGCCGCTGATTTGACACCAGAAATCGGGCGTACCAAATCCATTCAAGCAATCACTTGGAGACAAATCAGTATTAGTCTACGTGATCTCAATTGGGGATGAAAGGTGGGACGGAGGGCAGGGGAGAGGAGTAACCATCATCCAATCTCTTCTAATTACACAACTTTACACCAATAACTTCTTCTGCAACTCCGATGGGGTTTTGGTGCAGTTGCATCTGACATATTTTCTAAACCAATAAACATCTCCGCTTTTCAAATCATTTTTCTTCTGAATTATATGCAGGACAGAAAGGGACTTCCTAACCCGATTTGGGAAAAAACGCTCATCAATGTAGTAGCTCTCCCAATTGCTTGCTCCAGATCCTTAGAAGTGGTTGCCTGTGATGTGAGTAGATCAAAGTAGAGTGATTCAAGTTTCCATCTCGTTATACCCCTGTACCTCCCAATTCTCACATCGGTCTAGAATTGTATATGCGCATTAGTCATTCTGTATGTACCTCTCTCTCTCTCTCTCTCTCTCTCTTTTTCTCACACACTCTCACGCACAATAAAAAAATTTTCAGCAAATATCATCATCGTTCGAGCAATTACAAAAACTACACATCAAAAAAAAATTAAACCTCAACTATATAAACTCGACTGTTCTTCTTCTCCTTTTTTATTACAAAAGACCAACAGATTCACCAAGACGCATCCTAGATTAAAGAATACTTCTTCTGTTTGCTTATTTCGTCAGTTCTACTTTCATTTCCCCCACCCCCCTTACTTCCCCCGAAATGGAGTCTGTTATAAAAGTTTCAATGTCAGTTTGTCCATTTGTTCAAACAACCTCAACTCAAGCATTGCGTCAATTGAGTAGATCATCAGGTGGTTTGGCTCAACGTGCTCGCCAATGTCCTTACATGGCCAATGCCCTTCAAGCTCAAGAGCAACAGCAGCACCAACACCAACACCAACACCAAGCCGTGAGATCTTACTCTTCTGCTACTCAACCAAGAAGAGCAAGCGTTAGTCGTTCAGCTACTCCCGAGGCTACTGCTTTTGCCCCACCTCCAGCCTCACCATACCGTTTGCAAAATGAAAGCTTGACTGATGCCCAAGTCAATTTCAACAGCAATGAGCAAAAGTTTGATTTCCAAGGGTTCTTGAATGACGATTTGAATAAAAAGAGAACTGACAAGTCTTATCGTTTCTTCAACAACATCAATCGTTTAGCTAACGAATTCCCAAAAGCTCATCGTGCTCAGGAGGATGACAAAGTTACAGTTTGGTGTTCTAATGATTATCTCGGAATGGGTAAGAATGAGTCCACTTTGAACGAAATGAAGCGTGTTTTGGACAAGTATGGGTCAGGTGCAGGTGGAACTAGAAACATTGCTGGCCACAATGCTCATGCTATCAAGTTGGAATCGGAATTGGCTGCGTTGCATAAACATGAAGCGGCCTTGGTTTTCAGCTCATGTTTTGTTGCTAATGATGCAGTTTTATCATTATTTGGACAAAAGATTAAAGATTTGGTCATTTTTTCGGATGCATTGAACCATGCGTCGATGATTCAAGGTATTAGAAATTCCCGTGCTAAAAAACACATTTTCAAGCATAATGATTTGGCTGATTTGGAAGCTAAATTGGCTCAGTACCCTAAATCAGTTCCTAAATTGATTGCATTTGAATCGGTTTACTCCATGTGTGGGTCAATTGCCCCAATTGAAGCTATTTGTGACTTGGCTGAAAAATACGGTGCAGTCACCTTTTTGGATGAGGTTCACGCTGTGGGTATGTATGGTCCTCATGGTGCTGGTGTTGCCGAGCACTTGAATTTCGAAGCTCACTTGAAGCTGGGTATTAACCCTGCTGATATTGAAACTGTCATGAGCAGAGTTGACATGGTCACTGGTACTCTCGGTAAAGCTTATGGATGTGTTGGTGGTTACGTTACTGGTAAAGCCAACATGATTGATTGGTTTAGATGTTATGCACCAGGATTCATCTTCACCACCAGTTTGCCACCAGCAATTATGGCGGGTGCTACTGAATCCATTCGTTACCAAAGAGCCACTTTAAAAGATCGTATTGCACAACAAAAAAATACTAGGTATGTCAAGGACAATATGAATAAGTTGGGCTTGCCAGTTATTCCCAACCCATCCCACATTGTTCCTGTCTTGGTTGGTAATGCGTATGATGCTAAAAGAGCTTCAGACATGTTGTTAGATAAACACAAGATTTACGTTCAAGCCATCAATTTCCCTACTGTCCCAATTGGTGAAGAGAGGTTGAGGATTACTCCAACCCCAGGCCATGGACCGGAAATTTCCAATCATTTGATTGAAGCTGTCGATGATGTTTTCAATGACTTGAATTTGAAGAGAATCCACGACTGGACTGCGACTGGCGGCTTGTGCGGTGTTGGACAAGCTGGCCGTGCTTCAATCCAACATATTTGGACTGATGAGCAATTGAGTTTAACTGATGCTGATTTAAACCCAAATGTTGTTGATCCAGTTGTTGCTCCATTGGGTGTCTCATCAGGTGTCGCTATGTAAAGGGCGATGAGCTTGGACAAGAAAGCGAAACTGCTTTCTACTTTTTCTTTTTTATACAATCTTTTACTTTTTTTTTTTTCTTATTTATCTAATTATATGCTGAAGAAAACTATTAAAGCCATTTTACAATGTATCTCTTGGTCTCTGTATATTATATTCTGGTGAAGTTCTTTGACAATACGCGTGAGAGATCAAAGAAGAGAGGAACCAAAAAAAAAAGAAAAAGAAAAAAATGTAAACAAATGTGTATGTGCACTACACGCTTCGAGGAGACTTTCTACATACATCCCCACTCTAGCAATGGTCCTTGATAAACCACAAGTGGTCAGACTATACGTTCATAGAGTTGCCAAGTCCTTAATCCCGGCTGAGCTTGGCGAAGAGTATATTCAAAGTGTCGCAAATGAGCTATACACGTCTCTAATCAACACTCAAGGTGTGCACAACGATATCTCCACTATCATCAACAAATACAAACTGGTGTTTCTCAACAGCGGCTCAAAGCAAGAGTGGAATGAGTTTCAAGCACTCGTTACCTCCCTTAGCCAGCATCGCTCGTTAGATCAAATTGCAAATTACTTGACGTTTCTCGATGCCTTGCGAGAAGATTCCGATATCCAGTCGAGTGCTGGAGGTGAATTATCTATTGAGTCTCCACGGATAAACACAAACGACAAGACTTTAGCACAATTGATTCAGCCATATTATAAGACCTTACCTGAGGAAACCATCTTGACATACTTGCCTTACACATTGATGGGACTAGATTCAAAATTGTTCACCTTTTCAAATGACTATAAACGAATTGAAATACCGCCGTCGATAAACAATAGTTATGGATCATTTTTGAAACTATTGTTTGAGTATGCATTATTATACAAGCAATTGGATATGTTTGTTGATGAAAATCGAGGGAAGTTACCACTGGCTATAAAGGGTGCTTTTGTTGCTGTGGTGGATAAAGAATTGAAAAAATACAGTCAAGACTTGAACAAAGTGTTTAGCAATCAACCAACTACAATATTAACAGTCTACCATGCAATCCACGAGTGGATTTTTCCATTTCGATTCTTGTATCGGGCTGCATTACAAATGGCCAAATTGGATGGATACCATTTTCTAAATCTTATCTACAAATTTACGAAATTTGGCGATGAAAATATTTTGCTGATTGCAAAGTTTACTTTCAGCGAAATTGTGAAGCCATATTACAATGTGCTTGAATTCTGGATCACCAAGGGGGAGTTGGTTGACAGAAATAACGAATTTTTCATATCTTTTGAAGACGATGGTGAAAGTTTCAATCAAATAATCCAGTATCATGGCGATAAAGTACCGGAATTTATCGAATCTAGCGACAAGATATTCCAAATTGGTAAAACCCTAATCTTTCTCGAAAAGTATTGTCAGGAGTTGAAATTTGTGGATGAGTTTAATGTGAAGTACTCGACTACTATATTCACATATCACAATGGGCTTGCGTCCATGACGATAAATGAAATTATTGAGCTAATTGATCAGCAATACGATGAAGTGCTCGCTTTCTTCACCAAGTTAATCCATGAGAAATACCACTTATTCACTCATTTGCTAAATTTCAAAAACTATTATTTGATGGAAATAAACGAATTCATAGAAGCAATAATCATCAAAGGAGAAGCCGCTTTCAACTTGCCTTCATTAGAAATCACATCAAGTCAACTACATCAAATACTCCACGATGCAATGCAAATCTCGTCAGTGAAGACTCGCAATAATGTTTCTCGCATCGATTCAAAAATTTTCAATCCACAATTGGAAACCTTTGGATGGGATTCGTTCTTGATTGATTACAAGATTTCTGATTTGCCGATATTTGACATTTTGGAGCTGTCTATGGTCAAGTACCTCAAGGCATTTCACTTTTTTTGGAAATTGCGTCACTTGCAAGTGCTTTTACAGTCTAATTACTTGGCTTTTGATCAATTGAATTTGAAAATTGGACCTCGTGTGAGGAACAGTTTTAGGCGATTGGTTACCAATGTCAACGGAGTCAATATTATGAGACATCATTTGATCAAATTCTTGGATGATTTAGTGGCGTACTTGTCCTACGACATAGTGGAAAATTCTTTTGATACAATGATTATCGATAAGCTTTTCCATCGTAAGGGTAACGAATTGGTGTTGGATAAGCTGTTTATGAAGTTACCGGAACGAGCAACGGCAACAATGCCATTGAATGTGAATAAGCTAACTATTGATGAACTCATATCGGTGCATGACGAGTACCTTGATAATATAGTGTATACAAAATTGTTCAATGGGTCAGTCAAGGGTGCCAAGACAAACATTAGCTTTATTGATCAAATTTACGAGATCTTGCAATCGATATTTAGGTTTATCAACACTAGTCAGGAATACTTGTCAGTGATGGAGACATTCTTGGTGTTGGTAAATAGTCGCGAGTCCGCAGGGCATGCTGAAGTAGATCAAGAGCAGGAGTATCAATTGGAAAAAGATATCGATGAGGTGTCTAACCGACTGACCAAGTTGTGGAGAAAGCTCAAGGTGGAGATTTTCAATGGTGAGTTTCAGTCGTTGGTTGATGGGCTCAAACAGGATTTGAAGTTGGATAACGACTTGAAAGAGTTTGGGAAAATGTTTGTAGTAAAGTAGTAATGTAACATGTGGATGGATATACTGTATGATGATTCTTTGTCTAGGATCGCCTGTCAACAAGCTGATGGTAGCTGTTCTTTTTTTTTTGTTTTTTTTTTTTTCTTTTCTGCACTCTATGATGTAATTGCTGCAATAGAAACATACAGAAAAATTATGTGTGTAACTAGAAAATTGGGCGTTATCGGAACTCAAATGACCATTGGTATATTTGCTACCCAACCTGACCAGTTTTCAACCCAACCCACAATTACAAATGACAACTGATTCGCCAGATGAAGGCATACTCAAATTCGTCTTGTTCCAACTGAAACATGTCAAATTGTACAACCTACCTCGTAATTTACTAAGTCAACTCAAAACGGGCAGTGGAATTGACGAACAAGTTGAATGCCTATGGACAGGTTCTGTCAACTTGGTACGAGAAATCAAGCAGGACAACTTGCAAAGAATTAAACACGATGATCCCCATACCATTCCTGCATTCACCCACCACCGATTGAAATTAGAGTTTGTGGGCTCAAATTCAAATGACGACAATCTATGGGGCGAGACGTGGTATGCGCCAATCAACAAAAACCTCAGAGCTGAGTTGGGACTAGAGCCGAATAAAGAGGATATAGACACGGAAGTCGAGACTAGCCACGTGAAGATGGAACAGATTATCGCTATTGCTAATGATGGCACCGATACCATCCGTGAACTCTCGTATGAATTGGGCATTGTGTCAACACAGTGGTTTAGAGTAATTGTCCAATTGCCTCACTCCGGGTACCATCCAAAAATCAGTGATGCGCCAGATGGGTCGTTTGAGGAGAAGAGCGATGATGGTGATGATGATGACGAGAAAAATGTGGTGCAGCAGGTGGCTTTACTTCTACGGTTCAAACATGATTTCGAATCAGATGAGTTTTTGGAACAATTAGAAAATTACAATATGAGATACGATCATTTACAGCGACAATACTATTATGACAAATGGGCAGAGATTTTGGATCAAGATACGGTTCTGAATGGTGATGATGCTGATGATGATGCTGATGATAAATCCAAAGAGTCCGAGTTAGATACAGGTGCTGAGGATTTGAGTTTAGCTGATAATGAAAATAACTACGAGGCCAAAGATGGACAAGAACATGCAGAAGTAAGCTCAGACAGTGAAGACGACGATTTTGGTGATTTTGTAAGTAAATAAATTACACTATAAATCTAGAAATAATCATATAGACGAAACTCTTATTTGCGTTGCTGCTGTTGCTGCTGCTNTGCTGTTGCTGTTGTTGCTGTTGCTGTTGCTGCTTCTTCTTGTAATACATCTTCTGAATCAACGGATGGTGTGTCTCCAACTCCTTATTCTTGTTCCTACTGTACTCAATGTACGCCATATCCTCACCACCAGCCAATCCAGCCAACGACCCAGCAGATCGAGTTGCACCGCTCTGCTTGCCATTCTCCATTCTCTGCCTCTGTTCCCTGGGTATGAAATTCGTGTCTGCGTCATCGCCAATTTCCAAGCCAGCTGCATCTTCATTCTTCAACAACACCTGTTGTAACAACTCTCTACGTTCTCTTGCTGATGCATAAGCCAAATCTGGCAATTGCTCCATTCCACTTAGATGGGTAATGACCTTGAATGCATACCCTTGATCAACGAGGAACGCTTGTCTTTTTGTGGAGTAATACATCTCTTGCGTATCTTTGGACACCAATGAGTAGAAAAACGCATTGAATCCTTCATCATTACGTCTCTTGGCTCGCAAGATTCTTCCCAATCTTTGCGCTTCTTGTCTTCTAGATCCATAATGAGAAGAAATTTGAATCAAACAGGTAGCTTCTGGCAAGTCAATTGAAGTGTCCCCTACTTTGGACAAAAAGATAGTATTGATCTGATCATTGTGTTGGAAATTTTGCAAGATTTTCATCCTCTCCTGTTGTGGTGTAGACCCATAAATGAATGGTTTGCCGAGTTTCAACGCATACTCTTGAAGTGCATAGACATTGTCACTAAACACAATAATCTTGTCACCCCTCTTTTCATGGTAATGGATCAAAAACTGGCAAGCTTGGAATTTAGTGGGATTCATAATATACAAAAGCATCCGCTTACGAGCACTTTCTCTGAGATACTCTTGATAAAATTCTGCAGTCATGGGACACCAAACTTCTGCACACTGAACATTTGCGATGTGCCCCTTTTGCGCTAAATCCATCCAGTTTGCCTCATACAATTTTGGCCCAATCAAGAAATTTAAATCGTCAATCTTGTCATCCTCACGCACCAAAGTTGCAGTAAGTCCTAGCTTGGCATGTGCAGCAATGGTTGTAACCACTCGCCTAAACATATTTGCCGGCACCACATGCACCTCATCTAAAATGATGAATCCCCATTCCCTCGACCTAAGGAAATCCATAACCTTTTGAGAATCATGCGACCTGTTACGAGTATTTGCCACCATGGAGTATGTCGATACAACTAAACCCGATTCACTGGCAAACATTTCTTTATTCTCGGATGTAAACACTGCAACATTTTCAGGCTGGATCGTACACCATTGTAGGAACTGTTGCCTCCATTGCATGACGGATACTGATGAGGTGCACAACACAATAACCGATTTCCGGATTGTACAAGCTGCAGTAATACCAACCAACGTCTTTCCAGCTCCACAAGGAAGCACAATGATACCTGATCTCGCTCTTCCATTCCCAAACATTTTCGACAATGATTTTTCTTGATATGGTCGAATTTGAGTAGATGGCTTCAAGTCAATCTCAAGATCAGGATTTCTCGCATCATTACGGAAATCGTACTCTTCCAAAACGGGATAGTCAATCTCCTGGCATCGCCTTTTCACGATTTCGACAGAGTCATGTGATATCTCAAACGAATGTACGGTGTCCAAATCATCCTCATCGTCTCGGCTCCCAACCACTGATGCAAAAATGTCTTCAGCTTCATTATTTTGTTTAGTTGCTGTACCACCCGTCTCCTCTTTTCTCTTTGTACCTGGAATGTCAATGTCGTTCTGCGGGGGTGCTGATTGCACCAAACCGTTGCTGGTTACAGTATTTTCAGTGGACTGGAGTCTCAAGGGACCAATGACTTCGTCTTTGAGTAGCATCTGCAAAATATCTGCCAGGGTACTCTCGACATAGTATCTATTGTTTTTCAAAACCAATTTGATCTTTCCGTACGATACAGTTGCAGCTTTAATAAACTCCACAATGGTGTCAGTTACGGGGACTTTTGAAAGACGATTTAGCACGGAGATAATATCGTTAGTCTCTAGCCCCACTGAAACTGCCGCATATAGCGAGAACGGAGTTATTTTGTACTCGTGTATGTGGGAAGGTCTTGAAATTGGTTCGGCAATAGTGATTAAAAAGTCTTGCGCTTGTTCAGCCAATGGCGAAAACGACTCTAAAATAATCCTCATGTCATTCGGAGATATCCACAAGGGACGTGTGAAATGATCAGGCTTCAACTTCAAATATGAAAAATCAGACGCACCAAACGACTTGGAAACTGCGTCTGGTATATACCCAGGTGGCAAGTCCGGAGTGACATCTAGTAGATCATCATCTGAAAAATTTGTCTCCTGCAACAGACCTTTCACCGAGTTCACAGCCATACGCGCCTTCTGTCTCTTTAGTTGTTGCACATCGCCATCTGCTTTACTTGATTTCCTCTTTCTGGATGTCCCGTAATCATCATCATCTTTATCAATGTACCCTTCGTCGGAAAAGTTCTCGTCATCGAGTTCGGCATAGTTGACAGATTGCGCTCTTCTAGACATTACGTTAAGCGTGTGACCCTTTTCAATAACTCCAACAAAAGCTTGAAGATCTAGGACGAAGAAGGAAATGATTTGTAATGTCTGACTATTTTAAACTCTCCCCTTGTGAGATTTTCTATTGCGAAGAAAGGGCGTGCACAATGCAACAACTTTTCTCATTTGGCAACCATTCAAAATCTATTAACACTGTATTCTATTCACAATATATATATATATATATATATATACTCCATTAACTGGCTTAGTCAGCGAATTTGTAAGACCCACTGGCGAAAGTGATACTTCCTCCTCTGTAACTACCTTTTTTCATCTTGTTTTTGTTTTTGGTGAAATCTTTTCCTCTAACTTGCAACAACCTTTCACTAGCCTTTTCACCCCAAGTTCCAGCAGCTCCCTTGTATGTGTTATCTTGCAAAGCTCTATCTTCGAATGATATTTTTGATCTGTCGATTCTCGAAAAATGCTTTCTTTGTCCCGGTTTGAGTTCTGGTTCTGGAGTGGCTGGGGTTGAGTTGGAGTGGATGGACTCTGTGACTGAAGAGCTTGCGGAGGAGCTAGGCTCAATTTTGGCCCTTTTTGGTTCCTGTGGTTCTTGGACTTCATTATGCTTCCTCTTCTTGTTGGTGGTGGTGGAATCGGAGTCTGACTCGGAGCCTGAATCAGGGTCACTAGATGAGTTGGAATCCGAAGACGAACTTGACGAGTCTGAGTCTGATGATGAAGAGCTGGATGAGCTGGATGAGTCTGAGTCTGAGTCTGAGTCTGATGATGATGATGATGAGCTTGAAGAGCTTGAGGAACTCGAAGAGGTGGATGAATCGGAGTCTGAATCTGATGAGCTCGAAGATGAGTCACTGTCTGAAGATGAAGAGCTTTCGCTACTGGAAGAGCTATCAGAGGAGTCAGATGATTCTGAATCTGGGGACTCCCTGACGTTGGTTGCCTCCTTCTTTTGATCTTCTTCAGCATCACTCTCGTCGCTTGAACTTGATGATTCTTCATCCCCTGAGCTACTCTCATCATCACCTTCAGAGCTGCTCTCAGACGAATCAGAAGATAAGTCCTCCTTTCCCTTAGTCTCTAGCCCCTGAATAAAGTCGTAGACCTTGTTCACTGCCTTTTTGTCAAACAGGCGCACTTGCAAACTTTCAATCAACTCAGCCAATGCTGTCTTGTTCAATTTCTTCATATATTCGTCATTCTTGACTATATTCTGAACGTGATCTAGGATTGATTTAAGTTTTGATTCAATTGAAGAGGCCATATTTCCTGGTTCTGTTACAGACTGCTTTGAAATTGTGGTAAACTTGATGGTAGATGAGATGAGATATTGGATTTTTTTCAATTTCAATTTTAATTTCTTTTTTTGTTTTTTTTTTTTTGTTTTTTTTTTTTCTAGACTTTTCTCACACAAAAGGTGAAAAGAATTTACGAGACTACGCAGACTTTGTTCAGCATGTACAAAACTCCCAGCTTACACTGCATCTTGAATGAGAACATTAGTTAATGCCATGATTATGTTACATTAAAGCTCTCCACCAATCTATAACTTGCTACTGGACAGTTTCGAGTACAAATCAAATGGAGTATACTTTGCACCGGTATCATATCCGTAAACTTTGTCCATCTCAAAGTTCAAAACGTGTCTTCTTTGCTGCTCAAAAAGCGCTTTCTTTTCTCCATTCAAAGCAATCTCGGGAATATTAGATCTTTCACGATTAAACTCTCTGTTTCGTTTTGTCAACGCTTCGGCAATGACCTTAATCACATCATCTGGTTGTTCAGAGTTCACCAAATGTCGTCCTCCTTCAATATTTATGGCACCTGCCAACATGTCCGGCCTAATTGCCTTACGAATCCAGGGAACTGCTTCTCTCATGTTATGAATATCGGCAGCACCCACGACATGAAATATGGGAACACTAATCAGAGGCAAGGCAAGCATACCTTTTGCAGCACACACATTTCTGCTCAAATAAGCCACAAGTTGGTTTAAACTCAGACATTTGAATTTGTAAACGACTTTCCCATCTTCAGTTTTCGTCTCGTATATCTCGTCGGTAATGTAGTCCTGCAATACATCAGATTGAAAATTTTTGGTGAATGAATGTATCTCAAAGTAGTCTCTAGCCTCCTGCTCGGTATTGAAGGTATCCTTCATTAGTCGAGACAACTTTTTCAACAGGTTGAAATATCTTTCTTCACTTACATCTGTTCTATAAATAACTGGATCAATAGCCACGACAGCATCGAAAAACGTGGGTTCCAAATACGATGCATACAAAGCAATATACCCACCCATAGAATGCCCCACTGCAATAGTTCTGCCCTCAAAATTATTCTGCATATCTCCTGTGGTTTCTCTTTCGTGTTTAATAACATCAAGCACATCCCTCGATCCATCATCCCACATGTAGACGCAGCCCAATTTTCCCTGATTTGCCAAATTCGAGTCACCATGCCCAATTGCATCAATAGCAAGCACAGTGTCCAAGTGCCAAGGTACTTGATGGGATTGTGATGATTTATACAATTGTTTAATGATATAAGTCCACACTGACTTGTTAAATCCGTTCCCGTGGGTAAACACCAAGTTTAAAGGTATTTGAGATTCAGTACGTGGACTTGAACGGTTCGACTTGAATTTGTTGTACACAATGGTCAACTCCTCGGCATCTTTGGCAATTAGTGTGCTGCCGTTGGCACGGTTAGGATGAGCTCTTGTTTGCTTCTTTTCGAGTGTGAATGACATTATCTATCCTGTGAGGGGGGGGAGGGGCGTGTGTGTGTTGTGAATGTTTTTCATCAATATCAGTGGGAATAGTGGTTCCTTTATAAATGTGGCTGTATTTAGGGTCTTGTGGGAGGAGTGTACCCGTAATCGGCGATGAAAGA